AATATTTTTGTTTATCAATTGATACTGCTTAAAGGTGGGGTTAGGTCAGTTTGAGAAACCGGCTCGAGATACACTTTTTGTTATATTCCATGGAATGCTCTTAACATCCCGATAGCAATGAATATCCTAAGTGCTTTGACAACAAATCCATAAAAAAATTTCATCTGTGGAAGCCGTAGTACTGTAAAAAGCACGACCAATCATCTGAGCTGGCCCAGCTAAAATAACTGGATGGCCTACCTGCCTGTCAGCCTTCCATCTGTGCATAAACTTATCTCGTGCCCTCATACTGAAGCTGGTTCACTACAGGTACCTGTACTTCTGACTTTAAAGTCAGAATTCTGACTGAAGGGTAGGTAATTTTGGAGAAACCAGCTCGAGTGCGCTAGAATTTGAAAATACACAGCCGGAAAAAATCTGCCACTTCCTTACAGAGCCCCTCCTCCAACACACACGAACGCGCACATGACCAATGAGGGCACGAGATAAGTTTATGCACAGATGGAAGGCTGACAGGCAGGTAGGCCATCCAGTTATTTTAGCTGGGCCAGCTCAGATGATTGGTCGTGCTTNTAATAATAATAGCAATAATAATTGGGAGTAGGGGCGCGGCTGTTCTTATGTTCTCTGAGGGGAGGCTCACCTACCCACACTTTGAAAACCCCTGGTCCAGATCGAATAACAGCAATGCCAATCTCCTGAAGCACCTAAGTAATCCTACATACATGGGGCTATAAAACTAGTCGCCAAAGACCCCACCGTCTCAACCACCGGCAGTGACCCAGATGGAGCAACACCATCTAAACAGCCAAAAAACGATTTTTTTAAATCGCCACATGTCACCCAGAGTCAACTAAACAGATTGATTGCCAGGTATGTTGTTGAGGACATGCTGCCCATCGCAACGGTCGAGTCTGTTGCATGCCTTCAGATAACTAGTCAGCAAAAAACAACACAAAAACTTGTATTTGTATTGTTATTATTTTTAAAGTAAAGTAAAGTAACTTGTTACTAGTTACTTTTATAATTTAGTAACTAATAAAGTAACTAGATACTTTTTTGAGAGCAGTAACTATAACTATTACTAGTTACTTTTTTAAAGTAACTTGCCCAACACTGGTGATTTGTAGTCAGGCTGCAACATTGGTTTCTGAGGTCACCTCATTGTTTTTTCTTTGTCCATGCTTTGTTCTGGACTGGAACCAGAATATTTTGAGGCTATCTATCGAATTACTATAACAATTATTTAACCATCACAATTGTTGCCAGTACATTTGTGAATAAATTCTTCATAAATGTGTAGTTCATTAAAAAAAATTAAAGTAAACAAATGCTGATATGGTCCTTTAATGTGATTTACACTGTAGAAAGTGAGCTTTTTGAACATTCAAATATATCGGTATTACAGCTCTGGAGACCACTCAACATTTTTCTTAAATTTCAATCTCTACATGTATGGTAATTCAGTGTCTGTTGAATTCCAACACAGATACATGTAGTCAGTAGTTTATAGAATAAATTAAAAAAAGCTATAGATAATACATTCAAATCTGAGTCCAGATTGGCACAATTTGTGTGTGACAAGGCACAAGAATTGTGAAGTTTATAAAGTAAGTGAGGCAGATAGAAATAATCATCTGATCGATTGTACATTTGGAAACAGCAACAAAATAGGTACATTTGATCAGCTGACGGTGTTTTTTGCCACACTTCTGACAATAACCTTGCACACCTTCTCTGAGGTGCAACGTCACAAACAAATGATGGTCCTGTTATACTTTTTTAAAACTTTTTTTTAATGTTATCACAATAAAAGTGTTGTTTCTTAGTGAATTTCCTTTACTGGTCTTGTATCTCATAACATAAGCTTTAATTTTCCTCGTGGATTTTCTTCTTCTTCATCAGAGAAGGAGAAAATGGTTATGCAGCGGTGTCTTTCAGGCATGTCCTTACCTAACATAAATGACAAGAAACATAACACATGACATAACTGAAGAGCAGTGTGTCTTTAGGGGCTGTAGATATAAATGTTTTATTTCAAAGTGTTTTTTAAATTCAGCTGTGTACTACAATGAGATTATCAATGAACAGTTCATCGACATTAAAATATCAGTTTTTATTCAAATTAAACGTAGAAACATGCTGTTTGGTTTTCTCACTGCAATAATCACTTTTACCATGTTTCTTTATAGACAATATGAAGAGACAAATGTTAGTGTAGTTCTGTGTTATCCAACATTTTAGCAATAAGCTTGACTCCAACAAAAAAATACTTTGCAGGTAAGTTTACTTCAAACAAAGTGGTGGCAGTACTAAAGAAACACATTGTTTAGATCTCAAAATCCATTTTGCTCCGTGGCGCTATGACGTCAATTTCATTACGGCTGGTTTAAATCAATGATATAATAATAATGATAATAATAATAATAAAGAAATACAATGTTCTAATATATATATATATAATATATCAAATTATATATTTTAACATATGGCTCATACAATTAGCAATTCTCACTATATGTTAAATAATCTTTGCCTTAAATACATGTAAATGCCAAAGATATTTGAATAAAAACACCAGTAAAATATAAATAGAGAACTAAAATGTACTTACCGAAGAAACCACATTCATGGACGGTCCGTTTTAATCGCAGAGCAAGCCATGAGGATATTTGCTATTTGCATTAAATATAAAAAAGAAACCAACACAACAAACAGTTATGCTGCTAACAGAGGACTGCCAAGGCACACNATTACTTAGGTGCTTCAGGAGATTGGCATTGCTGTTTTTCGATGTGGACAATGCTTTCTGTCCTGCACACAGTTTACATTTGACCGCAAGATTTTTTGCGTCCTTTATCCCCACAAATTGAAAATAGTGGTTATATTTCCAAGTTGTAAATGCGCTGCTGCTCTCGCTGATACTTGCATCTGCCAGTGGTGAGTGTTGCCGTGTGTATGTGTGTTAGCATTAGCAAGTGTTCGTGTGTGTATTTTCCCCATAAGGCAAGACCCGCCTAACTCTGTCTCTGATTGGCTTACCCTGAAATGTTACCCCGCGTTAACCAATCATCACTCCCCTCTGGTTACTTTCACTTTTCCATGCGGCTGTGAGAGGACATCGCTGTATTCGCCTGTAAGTTACATCCGCAGGGAGATTCGGTTCAGTTCCATCACATAATGTAACGCAGTAACGCACCCATTTAAATCACAGTAACTATAACGGCGTTACTTAATGGGAATAGGTAACTAGTAACGCTATTAGTTACCGCAAAAAGTAGTTGCGTTATTGTAACGCGTTAGTCCCAACACTGCAAATCACCATGTGCATCCATTACTTCTCAATCTCTAAACGAGCCATCAGTTTACAGGCATCTGAGGATGACACAAAGAGGTGAAGCTCCAACATAAAACATGACGGATGATTGGGAAAAGTTCTCAGTATACACGGTGTGAAGTTTTAAGGTAAAACCAACGGTTAGCTCCTTTAAATCTGTGTTAGTCAAGTTGGTGTTGGTGGTGGTGGTGTTGATGTTGTCGGTGTTGCTGTTTGTGTTGGTGGTGTTTGTGTTGGTTTTGGCTGTGTTGGTGGTGTTTGTGTGGCTGGTGTTTGCATTGGATTTGGTGGTGTTGGTGTACTCTCCACACTGACCTTCATGCCGGTGGTCTCGGTCTCCAGTTTGGACAGGTGGTTGGAGTTATCCTCCAGCTCCCTCCTCAGGTGGGAGTTCTCCTTACGGAGCGCCTCCACCTGGTGGGCCAGCTGATCGTAGGAAGCCATCTTCACACTGGGCAGTGCCTCCTGCAGGTGGAGGAGGAGGAGGAGGTGTAAGACTGATGGATGAGAGACTGTCACAAAGGGTGGTGCCTCCACCAAATGGTTTGTTGTTCAGAGGCAGCGTCAGTGGAAACGCTCCAAGCGCTCTGATGGATTACTATTGGTCATCTGTCAATCAACCCTTGTGGAGACCTGTTTGGGGGAAAAGTTATATCTCTCCGCTCACACCCTGTACAGACACCTTTTGTATTTTGTATGGATTTATTTTCATTTCCTTTTTGTCTTTAGCTTTAGCTTTGAGGATTAGCATTGCAGTACATACAGTACATTGACCGCAGGACATCTGGTTCTTCTGCACAAATATATATGTTACCATTATAATGCTACTTGCAATAGAAAACCTCTGGAGCATGGAGTCGAAACACAATGAGAACACAGGAGAGCTGGGACTTGATGGCAAACACTGAAGAATTGATTTCAAGTTACGGCCGTAACATTGACAAAGACATGTGCAGCAGCCATGAGGTGACACAGCGGTGCCAAACCAATTCTGAATATCTTTCCTGAGACCCATATATTTAGGTCTGAGAGAATAATCATCATGCTGCATAACAAGATAAAACCGGCAAAGCACTATATAACTCCTCCATCAGCTGACGCCAACAGGCAGGAACAGGGAGACAACACACTGAGAGCATCCCAAGGTTGCAGGCCTGTGCTCAGTGAGAGCAGTACAAACTGATAAACTGGGTCAAAGGTGTGGCCCTAGGAAAATATTCCCCGAACACTACTCTGATGTCCATATTTTAAAGAAAATAAATGAACTAAGTCATGGCTCAAAGGCAGGGATCTGTCACTCTCACTCTGGCTCCATGTGTGTGTGTTAGATAACATGTTATCTAAGTGTGTCCTGCGGCTGCTCCAGCCTGCACTCCTCTGATCCTCTAACACTCTGGAACACCAAACTCTCTCCACTCGCTGCTTTCAGCTGCTAAACATTGTTTTTTTGTACAAACAGGAAAACAATAGAAAAATTCACTTTTTATATTGTAGAAATTACTTTTTTTAAATATATAAATATTATTCTGATATAAATTATATGAGTTTTTAATCAACTTCATAGACATCCATTAGTTTCTTTCAGAGATATTTTTCTTTGTATTGTAATCTTTGTTTGACTTTTTTAAAACATAACATAGTATTACGTATATCATGTTTTTATTGTAAATATTTGAAAACATAAACCAACAGATATTTCATATTTTTCCCTAAAACATTCAAAGAAAAGTAAATGTTTTTTTTAATGTTTTTATAGTTGAGCAACGCACAGGTTCCTGGGTAAAGCTAAAGAGAGGTGATGCTGTTTTACTCCAACACTTTTATACTGCAAGTGAAGATCTTCCAAAGTCAGTGTTCATCACAACATGCAGTCTTATTAGTTATTAGTTATTAGTTATATCTACTCTGTTTCATTGACTGAGATTTTGAAAGACTCCCTTTCTCCTCAGATAAACGCTGTGATTGTATTGCTGTATTCTTGCCCCAAAAGGATGAAAGGATCTAATAATGTGCAGTATGGACATAGGGAATAATTACAGCTTCAGTGTTCATATCAACACCTGACTTGAAACATTGTAAACCTTTCATTTAAACCATTCTGACACTACTACAATATTTGAGCAGACAGGGTTGCATACTGGTATTACTATTGTCTTTTCTGAACTGTGCTTTCTATTATCCTCCTTAATAACTGTTATGTCATATTGGTCCAGGATGACCGTAACAGTGTCTAGTCAAGACTCAGTTTAGAGAGACATGCAGAGTGAGTGAATAATCCAACGATAAAGCCATCAATAGGCTCACATGGAGTCTGTGTGTCACATTGAGGTCATCCTGCACATGCTCATTGTGAGTCACATGGTGACCTTCACTGCAGACCAGACTCAGAGCACAGACCAACATGTGGAGAGGACGTGGGGCTGCGGTTTGTTTGTTTGAGCCAATGTATAAAAAACAACTGACTGTCTCTGATGCTATTCAGATGATTGTGTATCTCTGCCGTCAGGTTTTTATGCCCAGTGCAGCAGATCTGAAGTCAGCAGGGGTCAGTGCAGTAAATGTCACTGCTGCTGCATTCATTAAGAGGAGCTGACCCCAGGGGATTGTGGGTAGGAGGAAGGTGGGGGAACCTGATCCAGGCTGTCATTTCATGTGGATTTTCTGGACGTATTCTCAGGTTACACTGTTTAATTGTGTTTAACTCTTACTACATCTGATTTGAACTATCCTTTTGTGTCAATACATCTGTTCACAGCCATAAAGCCACTGTATGTAGAAGAAAGGGTCACATGTGTCAGGGTTACATGTATGTGTGCACTACCATCTGCCACATTGTGTGTTTACTGATGGTAAAAGTGACGCTAGATTTGTTCGTCAGCTAATCTTTGCAGCTCTATCCGAAAAATCAGCACAGGTGAGAGATCAGAGAGAGAGATAGCAACATCATCACGATCACACTTTCAGGATTACCTTATCCATACATCATCAAGCATGGCTGGTGGGAGCCATGCTTGTATTGCCAACCACTGCTTCTCTCTAGTTGCCGTGCACATGAGAGTTAATAACTTGAAACTTGATCCTGCAATTAAAAGGCTGCATGAAACTTCCACACACTGCATCACCTACTCATAATTCTTAAAGGAAACATAATACCGACTGAATTACTTTCTCTATGAAAATAATGAGGACAATAATTATATGTATTAGGTTTGTTTTTCACCAAATGATCCACAAAAAGACTCACAGCTCTTGATTCACGTCAGAGACATGTTCAGTCAGCAACAGTTAAATAAAGGAACCTATTTTCTAGGAGGCCCTAGCTTTAACCATCTGTGCCGCGGTAACTTTGATTGTCCTGTAGAGGAGCAGCTTGCACAGGCACCAATCTGAAGACATTTTTAATATACATGTATGACATGGTGACATGGTATCAGGCCAACATCCCCCTCGCCCACTATCGCCATGGTGACACATTTACATCAAGGGATGTCTCTTTCTGCTTCTCCTGTCATCTGGCACTCACACACACACACACACACACACACACACACACACACACACACACACACACACACACACACACACACACACACACACACACACACACACACACACACATAACAAAATCTCACTGCTGCAGTCGCTGGAAAAGCATGCTGGGTAAGAAAATGTGGGAGCTCCCGAGAGGATAACGAATCAGACGGAGAGTTCAAACAAGCGTTAACTCAGACCTTCAACCATGCAGTTTCTATGGCAACGACCCCTATATGAGACGACAAGAAGAGAGAAACAGGAAGAGAGTCTTTGAGAAGACAAAGCATGAAACACATTTACTCAATACTGTCTGCTTCCACTCCACCACATCTCAGATATTCTTCTTTTAGAGCCTCAGTCACTTTGAATATTCACATAAATAAAAATACTATCATGAATCTACCTTGCCTTGTACCCCGCCCGCAGTGTCTCATGGTTAATGTTCATCATGACAGTCAAATGTCCTCATCTTCAGACTCGCTGCATTTACTGGGTCCCCATTATTTCACAATGAATCAGAATAATCTGTATAAAACAAGCCTCCTGTAACCGACCTGATTGGAGAGACTTACTTGAGACATTTTAGCTTCTAATAACCTTCCCGGTTGGAGTGTGTGTTTTCTTTCTGCAGCTTTGTCCCATGAGGGGGAACATAAGGTGATCAGGACATGGCCTCCAACTATGTGCTGCTGAGATTCTGTTTTATTAATCACCGCAGGAACACAAATAGTGTTTCCATGCAAGATGTGGGGCCTTCTCCAGTATTGTTTTCTCCTCCTTCTATATTTCATGTGTTTTCTCTCAGTTTATTTACAATTTGCATATAGTACCATCTAGCTCTTTACTGTGGTCATTCTTTCTTAAAAAAAAATATACTGCAACATCTTTTACATGCTACTTTGTTTTTGTTTATTACTTATTGTGTACTTGCGTTATTTACTTTCCCCCTCACTTTATCTGCTATCTTTCTGATGTTGTATTGTACAGTTCCCCGTTGCGGGACTAATAAAGGATTTCTGATTCTGAATGAATAGAAATGTGTCAATAAAGGTGGAAAAGCCCCTCATTTGACAGTCAGAGCAGCCAGTTATATTCTGATGAAATGTGTTGGGGCACGTGAACACACATCTATAGAAACATTTTAAATGGAAGAATTTAAATCTATTTCTGTCTCGTCTTTGCACTGAAATCTGAATCATAACGTTAAATTGAACACATTGAACTTAGTGAATTTGAGAAACCAACTCAGCAGAAAACACAGAAGCTTCATTCTCGTGCATCATCTATCAATATTATGTGTTTCAGACCTAATGACAATAAAGAAATGTAATCTTGAATCTTCCTCCTCTCCCCCGTCCTGCTGCAGAGGACTTCCATGATGTAGTGTTGTGTGAACATGTCCACTATGTAAAAGCTACAGATGGCTGTAGATACAGATGGATGCAGATATTGGGGCATTTTAATGATGTATTTATAATGTTTGCTTACGTTTTTCTGTATAATCAGATTTTCTGAGTGACATTCTCAATAATAAACATTTACACATTAAAAGTGGATTGTGTATCTGAACAAAGAGCGTGTCGATCACTCCCACCCACGTCCTCCCCCTCCTCTGTAACTCCTGTTTCCCCCTGTCTGGTTACCTTGGCAACCGCATCCTTTAGGCAGAGAGAGGAGGAGAATAAAATGGCGTCGGTGTGTGTGTAGAGCGACTGCAGTCAAACAATCAGATCTGTCACTGAAAACACAGGGCGCTTCTCTCAGTGTGTTCCAGGGTTGCACTTGGCTTCAGGGCCGACTGTGACAGGCAGGATGTTTGTTCACTATCATGTCGAATGAAACCAGGATGACATTTGAGTTGAACGTGGTGCATCAGACTGAGGGGAGACACTCTAACAGCCACTGCCCTACAGAAGCTAAAGGCTAACCTAATAGATTCTAGCTAATATGATGTGTCACATCCACACACACCATCCTGGTGCCTACTCAATAGGGCACCACATGCATGTGCCACAGAAAATACTCCCTCAAATGTAGCTTCTCCTCTATGTTGTTAAAACATGTTTCCTAAAGAGAACAGCTTTTTACTGTATAGAAATGACGGAACGGAAAAAGAAACTATGATTTATGTTTCCTAAAGATTCTAATATTCATTGCGAAGTGCAAACCATATGGGTTAGGAGCTGAGAGCCATAGACAGGAAGTCAGAAGGTAATCACAGAGGAGGAGGAGGAGGAGGAGGAGGAAGAAGAGGGTGGATGAAGCTCTTACTGCAGCACATTCAATGAGCTTCATTCACAACAACACACAGTCATGTGATCACAGAGTGAATCAGCGCTCACACTTCCTGTCTG